TGAAAACCATTTCTAAGATTCCATCCTTCAGTGTAGCATATAAAAGCAGAATGATCCAATACAGAATTAGAGCTCCGAGAAGCGGTCTGGTGTATTAAATTGGCGAAACCGCTGGGAGGGTTCACCACTGATGAGCCAAGACCTCCCAATATATTTTTCACCGCAGTAAGGACAGTAGAAGTTTGTTTTATGTATAAAAGAAACATTCGCGCTTTTAAATCCTTTTATTTTAATAATAACTGAAAAATAAATGTGTCCAGGGATGGGAAAAAAGTACTAAATGATACCTTCGGTAAAGATAAGGTACAATTTAGATTATAGATTAGAAACTCAAGGTAATAAGACCAAATCTAAATAAATAAATAATGGTTTGATGTATCGGTAACTGCATTGCTACAATCATCAGACAAAAGTACTAAATGATACCTTCAGTAAAGATAAGGCACAATTTGGATTATAGATTAGAAATAAAAGATAATAAGACCAAATCCAAATAAATAGTGTGTGACACTTCAGTAACAGCATTGTTACCATCATACTTTTCTTTTTTTCTGATGATGGTAAAGCTGTTACTGAAACGTCACACACTATTTATTTGGATTTGGTCTTATTATTGATAAGGCACAATTTGGATTATAGATTATAAAACAAGGTAATAAGACCAAATCCAAATAAATAAATAAATAGTGTGTGACGTTTCGGTAACAGCGTTGTTATCATCTTCAGACAAAAGTACTGAATGAGAAATTTTACCACAGCATGTTTTAAATAGTTCCTGTTATCCTCTGTTGTATCCTCCTGTTATAGGATAACAGTAGCTATTTAAAACATGCTGTGGTAAAATAGTTCCTGTTATCCTCTGTTGTATCCTCCTGTTATAGGATAACAGTAGCTATTTAAAACATGCTGTGGTAAAATTTCTCATTCAGTACTTTTGTCTGAAGATGGTAACAACGCTGTTACCGAAATGTCACACACTATTTATTTATTTATTTGGATTTGGTCTTATTACCTTGTTTTGGTCTTATTATCTTTTATGATATATTCAGCATATTGTCTGATGGTAATAACAATGCTGTTGCTGAAATGTAACAAACACTATTTATTTGGATTTGATCTTATTATTACCTTGTGTTTAGCCTCAAGTATATATTTACCAGAGAGCCATAAATTCCTGGAGATATGGGGAAGGTGGTTTCTATAACCATTTAAAATTCTCCTGGAAAGATTTTGTCTAAAAGGTAATGGTAAAATTATTTCTCAGTTTCCCCTTCCTGCAGTAATTTTCCTGCTTACTTCCCCCTTTCCATTCTCTAGGTTTTGTTTTCTCCTATTTTGTTTATTTGAGGCCAAACTGTTGTTCAAGTCCATTTCAGACAGCGTCAGACCATTGACTGCTGGTCTGACAGTCAACTAACACCTGACTGTAGGAAATTTTGACCGGTCCATTTTTTTACTCAACACTGTGCCAAACTTTAAATCTTTTTAATTAAACAATTATAAAGGTTTCCGAAGAAGATTTTCTTTATCATGGAAAAAAAACAAACGGCCCCCGCCAAATATTAAATATCGACTCTTAAAAAAAAAAAAAGATTACTCCCAAAAGAGGGTGATGGCTATGATAGGTTTAAAGATAAACACATATATATATATATATGAAAAAAGGCATCTCCTTATCGTGCAACTGAAAGTTGCTGATGGCTTGCACCATCTATTGGAATAAATATCAACTATTCTCGTTGATTTTTAATTATTCCAGAATTGGCCAAATACCCATTCTTGATTAATCAAGAAAAGCTAACCACGGACGTGTTTCGGGCTGTTGGCCCTCATCAGCGTGGTGCAAGCTGTACCTCAATGACCAAAAAACTGGTCTTTCAAGGCATCCTGAAAAATCATGAACGGGTAGTTAAGGCCAGAATTGTGTGAGACCGCGACACAATGTGAAAAAATAGTACAAATGTGATATTGTACTATTTTTTCACACATATATATCTTCTCTATTTCAGAATGAGAGAGAAATGCTTTCAAATTTCTTTTAGAAACAACTCTTCAACGTAAATGAAGCCATTTATTAAAGTCTTGCTTTTACAGTAGAATAAATATAATACAGTAGAACCTCCATGAGAGAACAAAGACTAGAAGACACCTCTCTACAAAGGACAGTTTTCATCTCCAAAATTTCCATTTTTACTATTTTAGCAACTCTTCGGTAAGAGAGGACACCTCTCTCTATTTTATTGATACCAACTTAAGCTTTTGGGTATCTCTGCCCATATATAATGAATAAGACGCTGACTGGCATCAGGCGGCACTTTATTCAATGTATAATAAAAATGGCATATCCTGACCAGGAGCACATGTGTTTTACAGAAGGCAGAGCGCCATCTGGTGGAACAGAAATCAACTAAACATTGATTTAACCTGTTCCCTGATATTTGGCCAATTTCTTGATAAATCAAGAAAAGCCATCCACGAACGTGTTTCAAGTCCACTATTCAATGTATAAGTTCTCCTGTAGAAGGGCAGGGATACCCAAAAGCTTGAGATGGTTTTATTAAAAAAAAAATAATAAACTCATCTCCGGAAAACCTTTTTAATTGTTTAATTAATGTCCAGGAGATATTTATATCTTTTTAAACAATTAGAAAAATACACAGTAATAGAAATACAATTATTAATAAGGCACAATTTTATTTTAGATTATAAAACAAGGTAATAAGACCAAATCCAAATAAATAAATAGTGTGTTACGTTTCAGTAACAGTGTTGTTACCATCTTCAGACAAAAGTACTGAATTTTGCATGAAGATGATAACAACGCTGTTACAGAAACGTCACACACTATTTATTTATTTGGATTTGGTCTTATTACCTTGTTTTATAAATACAATTATTGTATCGTTCATTCTGTTTATATAGTTATCTGAAGGTTTACTCTTGATAAAGATGGGGAAATATTTGATGTTTGATCCTGTAGGAATTCTCAGAGTTCAAAATTAGAGATAATGGGTGGTATAGTACAGTGTAATGAAAGGTTACTTTCAGATTGTGTAACTGAATCTCTTGCTGATGACTTTCTATCTACCATTGGAAAATATATCAAACAACTGTTGGTTTTTCCAAGGTTAGCTTATTCCCCTTTCATGAAATATCATGAAAAACCAACCCATGTACATGTTTCAGGCTGTTGGCCATCATCAACATGGAGCTTGATGTACGTTGAAGACACACCAATGAGGGAGCTTCATCACATATTTTATAGAGGTTGGCTTTTTTGTCTGAATTTGCCGAAACTGGTGTTGTAGCCAATTCCTTATCATCACCAGTAAAGTCTCCGCCATTGCCGGTCCCAAGCCCGGATGAAAAAGGAGGAAGGGGAGCAGTAACAAGCTCACTAAAAAACCTGGGTTCAGCTGGCCCGGCTGATAGTACCCTGTAAGGGCTCCTAATCCAGAGATACAAGATGAGTTTGTACTCCATGTTAGGAGCGGCTGCACATGGCATCTGTTCCTCATGTCAGAGGCGGCCATTTCTTTTGAAGCTAAGTCGGCCTGCCACTGAGTAGTGCTCCCAGTCTTAATGACAAAGGCAGACGCATTCTATTTCACCCAGTCATGATGGTTGTCAAGTCTCAAGATCTACAAGCTTGATACCCTAATATGATTGAGTGGAGATAAGAAAGAAGAAGAAGAAGACTAGTAAAGTAATTCCAATTTTTCCGGTCCCACAACACACACACACACACACAAGCCCGGATGAAAAAGGAGGAGGGGGAGCAGTGACAAGCTCGCTAAAAAACCTGGGCTCAGCTGGCCCGGCTGATAGTACACTGTAAGGACTCCTGATCCAGGGATACAGAATGAGTCTGTACTCCAAGTTAGGAGCTGGTGCACATGGTATCTTAACAATGGTTATAACAATTGAAATCTTGGGTCCCAAGTAATGTTATTATATCTACTGAAATATATATACAGTTAAACCTGTCTATAGCACCCCCTCTAAATAGCGCCTTCCTCTCTATAGCGCCTGATTTTAAACATTAAAATGTAAACATTTTACATTAAAAGTGACCTGTCTATAGCACCCCCTCTCTATAGCACCTTATTTTGGTGAGTCCCAAGAGGAGGTGCTATAGACAGGTTTAACTGTATAGTCAAATCTTACTCTAGCGAACCCCAATGGAACTTTCTAATTCACTATACTCATGGTTCTTTATAAGGAATTTTATGAATTGGGGTCTGTTTTAGAATCGTTATAGGGGGAGGTTTGGTATATCCCTGGTTAGTTTTAGCAAGGTTTTTTTACTGTACCTGGCTGCAAAATTGTGAGGAACCAAAGTCACTTGGAAAGCGCATTCCCCACTAATGAATTAAGCCCACGCAATAAATATTTCTCAACTTAACTATTGAGAAAGTAGTTTTCAAACTTTTTTTTTTAAACAAAACTTTTAAAATATTTACTCAATTAAAACCGGTATTATAGTAGAACAACTTTCCTGTAAAGGACAACACCTAATTGCAGAGCTAAAATGTCCTTTAAGGTGAGGTGTCCTCTTACCGGAGAGTTACTAAATAGTAAAAATGGTAATTTTGGTGATGAAAACTGTCCTTTGTAGAGAGGTGTCCTCTAGCGTGAGTGTCCTCTCATGGAGTATGTTCTACTGTACCAGTGACTTCAGAGTGAATCCAGTCTGTCCTACATTACTGTGCCATCGCCAACACAGGATTTCCTTCCAATGTTCCACATCTGGGAAGGAACTGCTGGCCATTGCTCCCTGGGATGAGCAACTTCAGGTAACACGTACCATCCTCCATGATATTGCTGTGATAGTCCCAATGCTACAGCAAGAAAACAGCATAGAGTTGGTGAGTACCAGTGCCAGTACTGTGTACCAGTGCCACACACAGTCATGTTATATCATGACTTACTATTACAACAACAACATGCCTTTATTAAGGAAACTCATACCATACAGGATTCACTCAACTTTTCTGTGATCCCCTGTAGTCTAGTGGCTAGGTTATCTGGCTTTCACTCAGAAGGCCCTGGTTCGATTCCCAGCATGGGAACTTTTTTACCACTATTTATTTGGATTTTGTCTTATTACCTTTTGTTTCTAATTTCTAATTCAAAAGAGCTACTAAAACTAAGTGCCATTTACTGACTATCTCTGTAAACTAGTGGACTTAGGTTCTCCAATTGGAAACATTCCCTTTCCATTAAAGCTTATAAATTTAAAAGCTATTTTCATAACAAACAAAAGTTGAACAACAACAACAAAAAAGTCTGTCCTCAATAGAGACTCTTTGAAAGAAGTTCTGCTATTTAGTATTTGCTGTTTTACACAAAAGGTTGGATTGATGGAAATGTGTATTTACTCAATTAAAACCTTCTGTGGTTTGATTAGATTTTCCTTCTTCCTTCTTCAGTTAATTATGGCCTGAGTGTTTTCCTTGTGATGGGCATTTCTAACACTGGTTTAACAATGGATAAGCAAGCCATGTATAAGTTTAGCTGCTAACATTCTTCCAAGTATAGTAGAACCTCCAGGAAAGGATGCACCTCTCCACAAAGGACAGTTTTCATCATTACAATTACCATTTTTACTAATTAGCAGTGGGGGTCAGTGGAAGGATGGTTTAAACTATTGGTTTTCGACCGCTATGACCCGGGTTCTATTCCCGCATTGGGCACTTTTTTATGTTTATAAAAAAAAAAAAATGCTTCAATGGCCCCCGATTCTTGCAAAAGTCCAACCCCACCAGCGAGTGCAAGTAACCAAACGGGGCTCTGGCACATTTGTAAGTGCAAAAGTCAAACTGCTTTTCACATGTGTAGACATGTGGTGCACTTACAGTAAAAGCAGTCGCCTACTTCTACCCACCATGATTATCATGGCCTGTACCACGTGTACTAGGAGTTCTCCAGTTAGAGGACACATCATTCTGGCTGCTGAAAAACCTACCCCTTGTCCCTCCCCCAATTACAGGATGATCAATGAGGAGAAAGAAATACAAAAAAAAATCTATCTAATGTATAAATACTTGATCAGAGACACAAGGTAATAAGACCAAATCCAAATAAATAGTGTGTGACATTTCAGCATTGTTACCATCTTCAGACAAAAGTGCTGAATAAGATAAAATACCACAGCATGTTTTAAATGGTAACTGTTATCAAGTGTGTAAGCAACTTAACAGATAAGAAGAAGATAGTTTTCTGAGTTTTGTGCCTTATCATTTGATCAGAGACATTGGCATTGTCTTTATAAAACTACTTGAGGGTTATTTCAACCTCAAGAAAAATGAGAAAAGGGATAAAAATATATTTTCCAAAAGGCGATAAAGGAAAGTGGGCAGCAACGGTGTAAATGAGAATGGCCTAATTTTTTGTTTGTTGTTTGGGTCTATCTTTAGGGAATCCATCTCATGGAGGAAAATCTGGAAGAAAAAATATTGAAAGAAAGAAAACTAACACTAGAGGAATCATTATAAAAGTTCATTAGAAGTGGCTTGTTTGCTCAATACACACCCATTCTGCCTATCTATACCTAAACACAGCAGGAAAAGTTGGCAGCTTGGATTGAAGACAATACTTCAATTCCTTAATATAGCTACAAGATTATTAATATATAAATAATTCCATAATTTTAAAAGAGGCCATCTTCTTATCAAGCAACTAAAAGTTGGAATCTGTTAGAATAAGTATCAATTAATTGTTGATGATAAGGTACAAAAGTACTGAAGTACTTTTGTCTGAAGATGGTAACAACGCTGTTACAGAAATGTCACACACTATTTATTTATTTGGATTTGGTCTTATTACCTTAGGTTATAAACACAAGATAATAAAATCAAATAAATAGTGTGTTTGGGTTTGGATTTATTTGGATTTGGTCTTATTACTATAACTTTTGTTGATTTTCAATTATTCCAGAATTGGCTAACCACGTACATGTTTCAGGCTGTTGGCCCTCATCAGCATTTTGTTTAGCATTCTCACGCCACAAACTAGCAACCTCTGATCAGTGACAAAGCCACAAAATCAGCTTTGGCTAACTGATAGCATCTACCTGGAGACCTTGGTTTCAGATTAGCTGGTGTTGTGGCTTTGTCACCGACCCCAAGCTGCTAGTTTATGCAACTCTAGACGGCATCTAGCTTTGACATCTATTTTGACAGGAGAGGTGACCTTTATCTTTATGGGAATTCTTAATCAATAAAAATGATATCAAAACTATGATGGCATAATACTTGCAATCTAAAATTTTGCTGTGGAAATGTCTGGGGAACACAACCAATTTATTCCTAAATGCAGGAAGGTGGAGTAGCTGCCTTGAAGTGAACAACTTTTGCAAACATTGACACAGCACTTGAGTGCTCTTTAGAAAGTAGAAAGTGGTTGTTCTCTCCTCTCTCACTCTCTCTGGCGCAAGCCACCAGCAATATCCAGTTGCACCATCAGGAAAAGGCCCTTTTTATCAATTTTATCAGCTCATTTGGTGATACCTTCTTTCTAGATAGGATCGCCTCTTTGTTGTTGGTCCAGAAAGAGTTCTAATGGTACTACTCATGGGCCAGATCCCCCCCCCCCCCTCTGGATCCCAAAATTGAAAGCAAAAAATATATATATACGGTAGAACCTCCCTGTAAAGGACAACACCTAATTACAGAGCCAAAGTGTCTTTTAGGGTAGATGTCCTTTTACCGGAGAGTTGCTAAATAGTAAAAATGGTAGTTTTGCAAATAAAAACTGTCCTTTATAGAGAGGTGTCTGCTAAAGGGAGGTTCTACTGTATATATGCTTGTTGCTTGTCCTGATATATTTAGACTGCTCATCTGCTTATTGTATACTTCCTATTACATACTTCTTGCTTTTTTCTTGTATTCTCCATTTCTACTTTTTGTATGCGCTTTATATTTTCTTTTGAATATTTTTTTTTTTTAATACCTATTGTATACTTATCGTAAATATAGAGGTTGCCTGGCCGGCATTCATATTTATATAAAAATAGACACTTCGGCCAGAGAGTTGGAGTTTTTATTTTCTCAACGTTTCGACAAAAATATTTTGTCTTCTTCAGGAGAAGTAAATAAAAATAAAGCATTTGGCAAGGCGTTAAAAATTGTTCTGAGGTTGCAATGAAAAATCACGTGAGAACGCCCTTGCAAACCTCAGAACAATTTTTAACGCCAAATGCTTTATTTTTATTTACTTTTCCTGATGAAGACAAAAGATTTTTGTCGAAACGTTGAGAAAATAAAAACTCCAACTGTTGAAGTGTCTATTTTTCATATAACTATTGTATACTTGCCTAAATGTTATATCCTTGTCTACTTCTCATCAAAAATTTCTGATAACTTACTGATTGGTTGTAGATAATATTAGTGAAAGGCATTACCCTCTACCCCTAGCACATTTCATTTGTTTTTGTGGGTTGGTCACATGTCATGTGTATGTACCATGCTAAAAGTATTCAATGAAGATGAAATGTGATCTCAATGTTTTACATTCATCCTCTCAGACACACACATGTATTTTAAATGCTGTGCCACAGAGAGAGATGGGAGGGGGGGAAAGAAATAAGACCACACCAGTCCCCCCTGGATCCTTGGAATATTTGACCAAATTCTGGTCCAAGGTGACTAACATGGCAACGGCATCCATTTTCCAGATAGAGGACATTGCTGCTGCTGTGATAGAGATGTATGGAAACATCTGAGGCTCTTCATTGGACACGACAACAACAACAATACAGAGAGAGACTAGAGGACAGACACGCAGGTATTTTAAATGTCACAACTAATGTGTCACAGAGACACTGGAGGACACAGGTTGGGCAATCTTATGAAAGATAGATGAGAAGATGAGCTGGCAACAACGTAAGTCAGTGAGTTGGCTGGTAGGAGCTGTCACCCTTTGAGATCAATACGGAAACTGTTCTGTATTGATTGAAGCACACACACACACCATATAGCATCCTGACATCTACAAGACATTGGAATACCTGAACTCTACGATATACAGTAAAACCTCCCTGTAAAGGACACCTAATTGCAGAGCTAAAGTGTCCTTTAGGGAGAAGTGTCCTCTTACCGGATAGCTTCTATAGAGTAAAAATGATAATTTTGCAAATGAAAACTGTCCTTTATAGAGAGATGTCCTCAAGCATGAGTGTCCTCTCATGGAGGTTCTACTGTACAAGCTCTGTGTGATGCAAGACAGCTACCTGCTTCCAATGTCTTCATCAGACTGCAGTGCCCACATATATTAGCAGTGTATGATGTCCTAATAACAATAGGTTTTACACACAAGGTAATAAGACCAAATAAATAAATAGCGTGTGATATTTCGGTAAAAGCATTGTTACCCAAACGTCACACACTTGGTCTTATTACCTTGTGATTATAATCTACTAGCCGAATGACCCGGGCAACGCCCGTGTTTTACCCGATTGAATGTTTCGATTCAAATACTATTTGTTACAATTATAATTTGGCGCCTTAAATAAATGCATATGTTAGTTAATAACTATAGCCTATGTGCTTTATCTGTCTATGTACTGTTGGCTTCCGTAGGCGTCTCTTACTGGGAAAAAGAAAGAGAGGATTCCATTTGGTTATTAACTAATATATGCATTTATTTAAGGAGCGACCCGCTCCAACACAATAGTTACAGAAATGGGGGGGGGGGGGGCAAAGGTGGCGTGATCGTAGCCGACCAATAGGAAGGCGCCATTCCAAAAAAAGCAAACCGGGACAGAGGCGACGAAGAATGACGCTCGTAACTGTATATAGAATAATCCAAATTGTACCTTAGGAATAGGTTTTTACCAAAACAACACGGCTATTTTTTTACTAATTCAGCTTAATTTTTATTAACAGTTATCTATAATCCAAATTTTGTGTGTTATCATATGGGTAAACCAGTTTGTTTATATCAGGTGAAAGTGAATTTCTCTTTTATTTCAGAGAATCCAGCCAAAATATCTTACAACATCAAAACATCATCACCAGTGTCAACAGTGGAATACTAATGATGAGTACTACAAGGAAATATAGCTGCTGAT